CGGGGTCAATCCACCCGCAAAACCAAAATCGACACAAAAAACGGCCAAAAACTGGATAATCACACCCAAAAAAACATCCAGAAACCAACAAATCCGCCCAAAAACCACCCAGAAACCAACAAATCCACCCAAAATCCACCCAGAAACCAACAAATCCACCCAAAAACCAACGAAACCCAACAAATCCACCCAAAAACCAACAAATCCACCCAGAAACCAACAAATCCACCCAAAACCCAACGAAACCCAACCACGCCTCGCCAAACTCGCCTGGGGCGGGCAACGGGGTCAATACACCCGCAAAACCAAAATCGACACAAAAAACGGCCAAAATCCGGAAAAATACACCCAAAAAACCACCCAGAAACCAACAAATCCACCCAGAAACCAACAAATCCACCCAGAAACCAACGAAACCCAACCACACCTCGCCGAACTCGCCTGGGACGGGCAACGGGGTCGATTTACCCGGAAAGAGCCAAAATCTACCCGAAAACTGCCAAAATCTGGAAAAATCTACCCAAAACCCACCCAGAAACCAACAAATCCACCCAAAAACCAACAAATCCACCCAAAATCCACCCAAAAAACCAACAAAACCCAACCACGCCTCGCCGAACTCGCCTGGGGCGGGCAACGGGGTCAATCCACCGGGAAAACCAAAATCGACACAAAAAACGGCCAAAAACTGGATAATTACACCCAAAAAACCACCCAGAAACCAACAAATCCGCCCAAAAACCAACAAATCCACCCAAAACCCAACGAAACCCGACCACACCTCGCCGAACTCGCCTGGGGCGGGCAACGGGGTCAATCCACCCGGAAAAACCAAAATTGACACAAAAAACGGCCAAAAACTGGATAATTACACCCAAAAAACCAAAATGTAGCCAAAAATGCACACCAAATCCAGATAAATCCACCCAAAATTAGGAAAAATCTGGGTAAATCCACCCGGAAAAACAAAATCTACCCAAAAAACTGTATAAATGATCCAAAATGACCCAAAATGACCCCAAAATTTGGGCACCTGCCCCGATGACCTCAGGGGGCGTCGATCTCCCCGAAATGACCCAAAATGACCCAAAATGACCCAAAATCACCCGAAATAACCCCAAAATTTGGGCACCTGCCGCGATGACCTCGTGGAGGGCGACGCAGGCGGCGTCGATCTCCCCGAAATGACCCAAAATCACCCGAAATAACCCCAAAATTTGGCACCTGCCCCGATGACCTCAGGTGGCGTCGATCTCCCCGAAATGACCCAAAATGACCCAAAATCACCCGAAATAACCCCAAAATTTGGCACCTGCCCCGATGACCTCGTGGAGGGCGACGCAGGCGGCGTCGATCTCCCCGAAATGACCCAAAATGACCCAAAATGACCCAAAATGACCCAAAATTTGGGTACCTGCCCCAATGACCTCGTGGAGGGCGACGCAGGCGGCGTCGATCTCGGGGGCGAAATCCCTCAGGGCGCCCTCGGGCTCCTCGTAGCTCAGGGGGTCGATGTAGATCTTCCCGCCTGGGGGGGAAATTTGGGGCAATTTCGGGCAATTTTGGGCAATTTCCGGTAATTCGGGACATTGTCAGGGCCACTCGGGGTCATTTAAGGTCATCTGGGGGCGTTTTGGGGCATTTTGGGGCAGCCTGGGGTCATTTGGGGACGTTTTTGGGGGATGTTTTTGGAGGAGATTTTTGGGGATATTTGGGGACATTTTTTAGAAATTTTTTTGGGGAGATTTGGGGAAATTTTGGAGGAGATTTTTGGGGAGATTTGGGGACATTATTTGGGAATTTCTTTGGGGATATTTGGGGACATTTTTGAGATTTTTGGGACGATTTGGGGACATTATTTGGGAATTTCTTTGGGGACATTTGGGGACATTTTGGAGGAGATTTTTGGGGATATTTGGGGACATTTTTTAGAAATTTTTTTGGGAGATTTGGGGAAATTTTGGAGGAGATTTTTGGGGAGATTTGGGGACATTATTTGGGAATTCCTTTGGGGATATTTGGGGACATTTTTGGGGAGATTTTTGGGGAGATTTGGGGAGATTTTGGGGACATTTTTGGGGACATTTTTGGAGTATATTTTTGGGACGTTTTTGGGGACATTTTTTAGAAATTTTTTTGGGGAGATTTGGGGAAATTTTGGAGGAGATTTTTGGGACGATTTGGGGACATTTTTGGAGGATATTTTTGGGGATATTTGGGGACATTTTTTGGGAAATCCTTTGGGGAGATTTGGGGACATTTTTGGGGACATTTTCTGGGACATTTTGGGGATATTTGGGGACATTTGGGGACACTTTGGGGATATTTTTGGGGACATTTTCCGGGACATTTTTGGGGATATTTGGGGACATTTTTTGGGAATTTCTTTGAGGATATTTGGGGACATTTTCTGGGACATTTTTGAGGAGATTTGGGGATATTTTGGGGACATTTTGGGGACTTTCTGAGGATATTTTTGGGGGATAATTTTAGGACAATTGTGGACACTTTTGGGACACTTTTAGGGGAGATTTGGGTACTTTTGGGGACATTTTCGGGGGATATTTTTGGGGATATTTGGGGACATTTTGGGGCCATTTTTGGGGACATTTTGGGGCCATTTTTGGGGAGATTTGGGGACATTTGGGGTCAATTTTGGGGTCTCCCTTACCGAGCCCCCCGGGGCGGCGTCGCTGCTTCGCCCGGAGCCGCCAGCGCCTGCGGGGACGGGGGGACGGGGGCGGAGACCCCCGAAAATCACCCAAAATCACCCAAATCCACCCCAAAATCACCCAAAATCACCCAAAATCACCCAAATCCACCCCAAAATCACCCAAAATCACCCAAATCCACCCCAAAATCACCCAAATCCACCCAAAGAACCCCAAATTCACGCAAAATCCTCCCCAAAATAACCCAAAATCTGCCCCAAAATAACCCAAATCCCCTCAAAATCCACCCAAACCCTCCCCAGACCACCCCAGGGACTCCAAATCCACCCCAATCCCACCCAAAATCCCCCCAAAATCCCCCAAATCCCCCCCAAATTCCCCCCAAATTCCCCCCAAATTCCCCCAAAATTCCCCCAAAATT